GGGAAAAGATTCTCTATCATTTCATAAGAAAACAAATTTTTTTTTTTTTTTAAATTTTGCGACACCAGGAGACACCTCAGGATTGGGGTTTGCAACAGTCAAGGAGTTAAAATACTGCATTTTAGATTGTAGTAACAAGTTGGAAATTGGCCTATAGTTAATAACTCTGATGGGTATCCACTTTTTAAAACACAATATTAAAGCAAATGCAGCTAAAGCCAGGTAAATGACCAGGATTCAAATCTAGCTAACTGGCTTCTCTGAATCCCCTCATAAAAGTTACCTTACAGGCACTCAAGAATAATAAAAACCCAAATAATTATTCTTTATAATTATTTTTAGGAGAGAACACGAGGTAGTAGGTTGGTAGACAGCAACCACCCAGGGAAGTACTACCGTCCTGCCAGATGACTGTGAAACAAAAACCTGTAACTGTTTTGCATGATGGTAGGATTGCTGGTTTCTTTTTCTGTCTCATAAACACGCTAAGATAACAGGGATATCTTGCTACTCCTACTTACACTTTGGTCACACTTCACAGACACGCACATGCATATATATATATACATACATCAAGGTTTTTCTCCTTTTTCTAAATAGCTCTTGTTCTTTTTTATTTCTTCTATTGTCCATGGGGAAGTGGAAAAGAATCTTTCCTCCGTAAGCCATGCGTGTCGTATGAGGCGACTAAAATTGCCGGGAGCAAGGGCTAGTAACCCCTTCTCCTGTATACAATTACTAAAAAAAGAGAAGAAAAACTTTATAAAACTGGGTTTGCTTAAATGTGCGTGGATTAGTGCGGATGACAAGAAACAGATATTGCTGATGTTATGAATGAAAAGAAGTTGGATGTCCCTGGCCAAAAGCGAAACAAAGCTGAAGGGGTAGGAGAGTTCAGGGGGGGGAAATAAATGGGATTAAATCGGGGAGTATCTGAGAGAGGTTAGAGCAAAGGAAGGGGTAGCAGTAATGTTAAATGATCAGTTATGGAAGGAGAAAAGAGAATATGAATGTGTAAATTCAAGAATTATGTGGATTAAAGTAAAGGTTGGATGCGAGAAGTGGTCATAATAAGGTGTATGCACCTGGAGAAGAGAGGAATGCAGAGGAGAGAGAGAGATTTTGGGAGATGTTAAGTGATGTATAGAGCCTTTAAACCCAAGTAAAGAGAGTAATTGTGGTAGGGGACTTGAATGCTAAAGTAGGAGAAACTTTTAGAGAGGGTGTGGTAGGTAAGTTTGGGGTGCCAGGTGTAAATGATAATGGGAGCCCTTTGATTGAACTTTGTATAGAAAGGGGTTTAGTTATAGGTAATACATATTTTAAGAAAAAAAAGGATAAATAAGTATACACGATATGATGTAGGGCGAAATGACGGGTAGTTTGTTGGATTATGTATTGGTAGATAAAAGACTGTTGAGTAGACTTCAGGATGTACATGTTTATAGAGGGCCACAGATATATCAGATCACTTTCTAGTTGTAGGCTACATGAGAGTAAAAGGTAGATGGGTTTCAAGGAGAATAGAAGCATCAGGGAAAAGGAGGTGAAGGGTTTTTAAACTAAAGAGGAGGCAGTTAGGGTAAGATATAAAACAGCTATTGGAGGATAGATGGGCTAATGAGAGCATAGGCAATGGGGTCGAAGAGGTATGGGGGAGGTTTAAAAATGTAGTGTTAGAGTGTTCAGCAGAAGTTTTGTGGGGTTTCAGGGAAAGTGGGTGCAGGAGGGAAGAGGAGCGATTGGTGGAATGTGAATGAAAAAAGAGTAGTAAGGGAGAAAAAGTTAGCATATGAGAAATTTTTACAAAATAGAAGTGATGGGAAGGAGGGGAAAAGTATATGGAGAAAAAAGAAAAGAAGTTAAGAGAGTGGTGAAGCAATGTAAAAAGAGAGCAAATGAGAGAGTGGGTGAGATGTTATCAACAAATTTTGTTGAAAAAAAAGAAAAAGTTTTGGAGTGAGATTAACAAGTTAAGAAAGCCTAGAGAACAAATGGATTTGTCAGTTAAAAATAGGAGAGGAGAGTTATTAAATGGAGAGTTAGAGGTATTGGGAAGATGGAAGGAATATTTTGAGGAATTGTTAAATGTTGATGAAGATAGGAAGCTGTGATTTCGTGTATAGGGCAAGGAGGAATAACATCTTGTAGGAGTGAGAAGAGCCAGTTGTGAGTGTGGGGGAAGTTCGTGAGGCAGTAGGTAAAATGAAAGGGGGTAAGGCAGCCGGGATTGATGGGATAAAGATAGAAATGTTAAAAGCAGGTGGGGATATAGTTTTGGAGTGGTTGGTGCAATTAATTTAATAAATGTATGGAAGAGGGTAAGGTACCTAGGAATTGGCAGAGAGCATGCATAGTTCCTTTGTATAAAGGCAAAGGGGATAAAAGAGAGTGCAAAAATTATAGGGGGATAAGTCTGTTGAGTGTACCTGGTAAAGTGTATGGTAGAGTTATAATTGAAAGAATTAAGAGTAAGACGGAGAATAGGATAGCAGATGAAACAAGGAGGCTTTAGGAAAGGTTAGGGGGTGTGTGGACCAGGTGTTTACAGTGAAACATATAAGTGAACAGTATTTAGATAAGGCTAAAGAGGTCTTTGTGGCATTTATGGATTTGGAAAAGGCGTATGACAGGGTGGATAGGGGGGCAATGTGGCAGATGTTGCAAGTGTATGGTGTAGGAGGTAGGTTACTGAAAGCAGTGAAGAGTTTTTACGAGGATAGTGAGGCTCAAGTTAGAGTATGTAGGAAAGAGGGAAATTTTTTCCCAGTAAAAGTAGGCCTTAGACAAGGATGTGTGATGTCACCGTGGTTGTTTAATATATTTATAGATGGGGTTGTAAGAGAAGTAAATGCGAGGGTCTTGGCAAGAGGCGTGGAGTTAAAAGATAAAGAATCACACACAAAGTGGGAGTTGTCACAGCTGCTCTTTGCTGATGACACTGTGCTCTTGGGAGATTCTGAAGAGAAGTTGCAGAGATTTGTGGATGAATTTGGTAGGGTGTGCAAAAGAAGAAAATTAAAGGTGAATACAGGAAAGAGTAAGGTTATGAGGATAACAAAAGATTAGGTGATGAAAGATTGAATATCAGATTGGAGGGGAGAGAGTATGGAGGAGGTGAACGTATTCAGATATTTGGGAGTGGACGTGTCAGCGGATGGGTCTATGAAAGATGAGGTGAATCATAGAATTGATGAGGGAAAAAGAGTGAGTGGTGCACTTAGGAGTCTGTGGAGACAGAGAACTTTGTCCTTGGAGGCAAAGAGGGGAATGTATGAGAGTATAGTTTTACCAACGCTCTTATATGGGTGTGAAGCGTGGGTGATGAATGTTGCAGCGAGGAGAAGGCTGGAGGCAGTGGAGATGTCATGTCTGAGGGCAATGTGTGGTGTGAATATAATGCAGAGAATTCGTAGTTTGGAAGTTAGGAGGAGGTGCGGGATTACCAAAACTGTTGTCCAGAGGCGTGAGGAAGGGTTGTTGAGGTGGTTCGGACATGTAGAGAGAATGGAGCGAAACAGAATGACTTCAAGAGTGTATCAGTCTGTAGTGGAAGGAAGGCGGGGTAGGGGTCGGCCTAGGAAGGGTTGGAGGGAGGGGGTAAGGAGGTTTTGTGTGCGAGGGGCTTGGACTTCCAGCAGGCATGCGTGAGCGTGTTTGATAGGAGTGAATGGAGACAAATGGTTTTTAATACTTGACGTGCTGTTGGAGTGTGAGCAAAGTAACATTTATGAAGGGATTCAGGGAAACCGGCAGGCCGGACTTGAGTCCTGGAGATGGGAAGTACAGTGCCTGCACTCTGAAGGAGGGGTGTTAATGTTGCAGTTTAAAAACTGTAGTGTAAAGCACCCTTCTGGCAAGACAGTGATGGAGTGAATGATGGTGAAAGTTTTTCTTTTTCGGGCCACCCTGCCTTGGTGGGAATCGGCCGGTGTGATAATAAATAATAACACTGTACTCTAGGCACCGTATGACCCTTAGGAGCATGGGGAGGCAATCAGGCTCAATCCAGTGGGAGATCATATCCAATTACTTGGATCAAGAGCTTCTCACTGACCTTACAGAACTTCCATTGAGGAGGTTTCAAGGCATAAGAGTTAGAAAATACACAGAGGTTATATACTGCCCGCACAGAATCAATAAAACACCTAAACTATTGTAAATGCTTCAAAGCACATAGATTGTTCTCTCTGAAATAGAGAAGAGATACCTGATAAAATATACATAAAAGTTACTTAAGAGCCTTGTCCCTAATCTGCACACAGCTATAACAACTTACTGGAGTGAAAGATATAGGAGAAAGTGTGTAATAAACCCAATGAGGAGCTGAAGGAAGAGGAGGCATGGGAACAATTAGAGAACACTGTCAACATGTGGGGTACAAGATTCTTCAGCACATCACTGCCAAATGCTAGAAATACTAATGGAAATTAAGACAAGTTTTCAAGAAGCTGAATGTGCTCCTGCTACAACTCCTGGATCAGCCAGGCTGTGATGGCTATGTGGGCCCGCAGGCTGCTAGCACAAATACAATGGTGGTCAACTGGAAAGCCTAGTTTCAGGCTGGTTTGCAAGGAAAGACCCCTCAAAACTGGTCACAGGTAAGTATATAACAGATTAAGTAAAGGTTCTAGTTTCAATATTTGTGTGTCCTTGTGGTCAAGGGGTGAACATGTGGCAATAAGAGCAGGCTAACCCAGGTTGCAGGGTGTTGCAATAAGAGCAGGCTAACCCAGGTTGCAGGGTGTTGCAATAAGAGCAGGCTAACCCAGGTTGCAGGGTGTTGCAATAAGAGCAGGCTAACCCAGGTTGCAGGGTGTTGCAATAAGAGCAGGCTAACCCAGGTTGCAGGGTGTTGCAATAAGAGCAGGCTAACCCAGGATGCAGGGTGTTGCAATAAGAGCAGGCTAACCCAGGTTGCAGGGTGTTGCTCACATCACACCATTTTTACACTTGTGTTACATTTATGAGTGTCAAACATAAACATTAATATTTCATACCTTTGCTTTGCCAGTAAGTACTAAGAAGGAGCCTTCACTTTTTTCAAAAATAACAGAAGAATTTGGCTGTAGAATTCCAAAGTTTATTTTATGAGGTGCTCTCTTCTTGTGTGATGCAAGTGCTTCTGGATCAGCAGCTGCAACAAGTAAATTATACTTTAAGATCTTGTGAAGAAGATAAAAGACACTGATAAAACCAAACCACAATATCACATTCAATACTGTGATCTACCACCTCAAATACCTTAGTGAAAATTTTAGTAAATTCATTAGACTGAAATACCCCTTTGTATAAATGTGCTTAGATTCATTGATCAATTTATGTCACCCAAGGTGAGCTCAAATAGCCTCAGCAATTGATTCCATTAATTTTCCCACAATGGAGGTTAGGCTAATTGGTCTATAATTCAAAGCTAATGACCTGTCTCCTGCTTTGTACATAAGTATCATGTTTTCCATTTTCCACTTATTATGCCAGTTTGTAGTTATATGTTGATAAGACTAGCTAATGGTTTGCTAAGTTCCTCCTTACATTCATTTATAACCCTGAAAACAGTTCATCAGTGCCCAGTGATTTGTGGTTTAAATCCATGTGTCTGAGAACCATGTGAGACTATCTTCTCCCAAATGTTACTTCTATATACATACCTGAAAGAAACCTTTTGAGGTGATCTTCGATTATCTTGTGACTTTAATTCCATAATATTATACTGCTTCCTTAAGTGTTCCTTTCTCCTTTTGATTTACCTGTAAATGCCTCTCTTCTGGCCTATGAGATGTTTTAACTTATTATTTATCCATTTGCGGTCATTTTCTTTGATCAAATTTCCCTATTTGGAACATATGTTGCCTGGACAGCTTGAACTATGCTTTGAAAAATGTCATAGTGGCAACCATCCCCACCTACCTAACCCACAGGATAATCACTTGCCAGGTCATATCAGTTGACTCCCCTTATTTAATCCCACAGCCTCACAAAATCAGTAGACAATACCAATTTTTAAAGGGGTGGACCAGTCAGCCAGTGGAAAGCCTCAGTCAGATGACCAATAACTCCAGCAGTGGGTCATCATATAAGACTCAAGTCACAAAACAATTGTCGTTTCCTGATGAATCTTACCTTACCCACAAAATCAGCTGCCCGTGACTCAGGGACCTCAACTAGATCATCTCCCACCAAGACAGGGTGACCCGAAAAGGAAGAAAAACTTTCACCATCATTCACTCATTCACCATCTTGCCAGAGTCACTGACATTACAGCTCAGAAGTCCCATCACACTTCAATATCCCCACCCTACCTTCAGAGTGCAGGTACTGTATGTCCCACCCCCAGGACTCTTAACCCTTTCAGGGTCCGTCCCGTAGATCTACGGCTTTATGGTGAGTGTCCAAACCGTAGATCTACGCCATGAGCTCAGCTCACTCTGATAAACTGTGAGTGGTACATTTGGGCCTAGATATGAGAGAATACATCTATGTGGTATGTGTGCACCACATAAAACAGATCCTGCAGCACACTGTGTGTAATGAGAGAAAAAAACTGAAATCATGATTTTTTGATTAAAACAGCAACTTTGCAGTGTTTTTTCGTATGTTTTTTATAGTTGTATTTGCGATTTCTTGGTCTCATTTGATAGAATGGAAGACATATTACAGAAATAGAGATGATTTTGATTGGTTTTAGCACTGGAAATGGCTTGAAACTGAGCTCAAAGTAGCGGAAATGTTAATTTTTTTGCCGATATTCAAGAGTAAACAAACGACCTCACACGTCTAATAACACGTCAGCTGGGGGGTCTAATATACATTCACAAATATGGTGATGATATTTTATACAATTATTACAGTATTGCATAGCAGTAAATCTTCTATTTTTTGGTGTGAATAAAAATTCATTATGTGAATAAAAAATCAAATGGAATTTATTTGTAAAGCCTCAAAACATGACTAATGAACAGAGGAAATGTTAGTTTAGTGCCAGGAATGCCTACATTGTTTTATTCTGGACTCTATTTTGAAATTGGAATATTTTGAACTTTGTGTTAAATTGGCCAATTAACAATTTCCGATCACTTTATTTTGTAGTTGAAACAGTTGACTTGGCGATTTCTTGTGCTCAATCGATAGAATAGAAGTAATACTAGTGAAATAGCTAAGAATTTGGTTGATTGGAATAATGTAATTGGCCTAAAATGGGAGTCAAAGTCGGCAAAATCGCCGATTCGTAAATATCGCTGACACATCAAAATTCGCGAGAGCATAATTTCGTCAATTTTCCACCAAATTTCGTACTTTTTGTTTTTTACCTTCACAAAAAAGAATTCTCTACGATTTCATAAGAAAAAATAACAAATTTTTTTTTTGAAAATTCTTGGACACTGGTGCGTGACTCCAGATTTGGGCCTTGGACCCTGAAAGGGTTAAGTCTGGTTAACCAGTTTCTTTGAATCTCTTCATATATGTTATCTTGTTCACACTCAACATCATGTCAAGTCATCAAAACTGCTTGCCATCATGCCTATCTAACATGCTCACACATGCCTGTTGGATGTCCAAACCCCTTGCATACAAAGCATCCTTTACTCTCTCTCCCTCCAACCTTTCCTATGATAACCCATGCCCCTCCTCCATTAACAATTTATACAACCTCCAAGCCAACCTATTTTTCTCCATCCTCTCTAAATGTGCAAACCACCTCAGTAACCCCTCCTCACCCCTGTGGATAATACTTTTAGAAATCATGCACCTCCTACTAATCTCAAAACTAAAAATTATCTGCATAATATTCAAACTACACACTGATTATAGTTATTACGGAAATTCCATGATATACTGAAAATGAGTGATCTGATCTCTTTTCCCAAGCTCATCCTTAACCTCAAAATTATTAATTAGTGATTCCTTGTTGGCAAGAACAAAGTCAAGCAAGTTATTTCCTTTAACCCTTTGACTGTCGCAGGCCCCTTTCTGAAACTGTCATTCTATGTCGATAAATTTTTGGAAAAAAAATAAATTATTTTTTCTTATGAAATGATAGAGAATCTTTTCCCGATGGTAATGACACCAAAAGTACAAAATTTGGTCAAAACTCGCGGAATTACGCTCCGCAAAAGTTAGCGGTCTCGGCGACATATACGCTTCGGCGATTTTGCGACTTTGAGCCCTGTTTTCGGCCCAAATTTTGTTGTTCCAGTTGACCAAACTCATAGCTATTTCCTTAGAACTCCATTTTTGCTATCTGTTGAGTACAAGAAACCGTCCATTTACCGATTTGAACTACGCAATAAAGTGGTCAGAAATTGGCAATTTGGCCAATTTTTACACAAATTAAAAAAGATGCCAATTTCAAAATAGGGTCCAGAATAAACACTGTAGACATTCTTGGCACTAAAAAAACATATCTTCTGTTCATTAGTCATGTCTCTAGGCCCCTCTTATATTACTATTGCTTTCCATTTTGATTTTTTATTCATATAAAAAAATACAAAATTTACTCTTATGCAGACTACTGCATTATTGTAAAGCTGGTATAAATAATATCAGTGCACCAGTTGAAGTGTAATTTGGGCGTGTGGTGTGATTTGCTTACTCCTGTACATTGGTAAAAATCGAACATTTCCGATACTTTGAGCTCAATTTCAAGGTCGTTTTCATTGTGAAAGTAATCAAAATCATCTCTATTTCTGTAGTATGTTTTCCATTTTATCCCCTGAGACCATGAAAACGAGAATACAACGAAAAATACTATGTGAAAATACACCTCAAAGTTGGCGTTTTAAATCCAAAAAAAGTCAGTTTTTTTCTCATTATGCACTGAGGCTGCAGGTTTTTTTTTTATGTGGTGCACACTGACCACACAGACCCATTCTCTCACATGTGAGCGAAACCAGTTTTTCTCCCGCTTGATTTGAAGCCACTAGAATTTATGCGTATAAATACGTCAGAAACAGGGGGTGCATAAGACATATATATACGACCAAAACAGTAAAAGGGGTTTTAATTGGTTATGTCACAAATTTTTTAAAAAACAATCCTGGATAACATCAAGGAAGTTGCCAGACTCAGAGTCCCTGTCAAAATCTCCCATTAACATACATTTTTCTATCTAGATGCCTTCGTAATTTTTGTCCCATATGAATTTACCATGTTCCCAATTTAAAGTTTGGGGCCTGGGAATCACACCAAAATTAGCATTTCACATCCCTTGAGAAACATAGCCAAATAGATCAGTGTCCATCACTTCCCTTTTATTTTGACTAATGCAACATTTTAAAAACCCTTTGACTGTTTCAGGCCCCTCTCTGAAACTGTCATTCTATGTCGCCAAATATTAAAAAATTATTTTTTCTTATGAAAATGTTAAGATTATTTTCTGAGTGTTTTGGGGTCCAAAAAAAAAATTTTTGGGCCATCGGTACTTACTGAGATTAGGGGCCGTGAAGTTTGCAGAAAATGAGCCGCGTATGGAAAACAGCGGCGACTGCCGCTCACCCGGTAAACTTTAGTTTACTTGTATTTGAAGTTTTTTTGTTTTTTTCACTATTTTATTTTTTCACATAACTTATGTGGCCTATGAGACCAAAGTAAGGTGAAATGTACATATATACACTCGTTGTATACAATACAATAAGCACACAAACATAATTATCAATATATTGTTTACAAAACTTGTTTACAAAAAAAAACAATCTCCTCCTCCTCCTCCCCCTCCTCCTTCTCCTCCTCCTCCTTCTCCTCCTCCTCCTCCCCTCCTCCTCCTCCCCCCCCTCCCCCTCCTCCTCCTCCTCCTCCCCTTTCTCCTTCTCCTCCTCCTCCTCCTTCTTCTCCTCCTCCTCCTTCTCCTCCTCCTTCTCCTCCTCCTTCTCCTCCTTCTCCTCCTCCCCCCCTCCTCCTCCTTCTCCTCCTCCTCCTCCTCCTCCTCCTCCTCCTTTCCTTCTACTTCTCCTTCTCCTTCCCCTTCTCCTTTTTCCTCCTCCTTCTCCTTCTCCTCCTCCTTTTTCTTGTGTGCGAGTGTGTGGCTTATAATTGTTTGATCAAAGTCGGCAGCTGTAAAAGTGACATATTGTCTCATTACTCACACCCCCTACCTCCTGTCAAAACAAGGGGGTCGGACGCTGCTTCCCCTCCTCCATTCTATCTAATTATCTTTCTCCCTCATTCTATATCTTTCAATCTGTCTCTCTTTCTATCTGTCTCCCTATCTCTGTCTCACAGGTACACATAAATACAAGTATACATAGTGTAAATTACCTAGGATAACCCAAGAAATCCAGACAAAGTGCTAAAACCCCTGCTTGAAGATGTAGTAAAGGTGATGACACAGTCTTGGGGGCTCTCTCTGAGACAGAGAGCTAGGTGGACAGACAGGAGCTTGACAGACAGACAAATAGACAGACAGAAATGTTTGTGTACCACAAAAACAAAGGGAGGGCGATGGTTCATGTAATATTACCCTCCTTTACGCTCACCCAAAGTCAGCTCTTACAGATGTTATCTCCCCTATTTTGTCACTGTCATGGGGTGGACTTTTTTTTTTCTTGCTTCAAGGAACAATTTTATTACATCTTCTTCCCCCTCCTCCTCCTCTTCTCCTTCTCCTCCTCCTCCTCTTCCTTCCCTCCTCTCCTCCTCCTCCTCTTCCTTCCCTCCTCCTCCTCCTCCTCTTCCTCCCCTCCTCCTCCTCCATTGCTTTTGGTCTCA